TGAGTCCATCTGCCCGAACGTAATTTCTCAATCTCTTAGTCGATAAATCAACCTTCTCAATTGTCTTTTCAAGTTTCGTCTCCCTTACAATCACCGTAACTTTTTCTTCGACCGTCTTTATAGAATCAGACTCATTCCCAATCACAAGTACTTCTTCGTTTCCTTTCTCCTGGAAGTCGTGGCATCCGTCCACTATATTTTTTAATTCTTTGTCCTCCTCGCTACTTAACTTCTCGTGTTCATTCCAAATTATCACACTTAAGACGAGTGATTCTTCAATCTCCTCACTGGTTAATTTCTCGTCTTCATCCCAAATTACTTCAACTAAATCCGATAATTCATCCTTCGGCGATCTCACAAAAAATTGGGACTCTTAGAAAAAATATTGGTCGTCCTCTTCCTCTCCCTCCGGCGATAGGCTCGGCAACGGCGGTGATGATGGCGGCGGTGGCATTGGCGGTGATGGGCGGCGGTCCCTTCGGCTTTTGTGTTGGTGTTGACGTCGCCTGTGACTTTGTTCGAGCAATTTCTGATAATCAATTCGTAATCTCTCTACGGATTTCTCCAATCGCTCTAACCGTCTTGTTTCTGACATCATGATTTTCACAAAGTTTTGATGTGATCTTTAACTTTGCTCCAGCTTAGCTTTGATATAATCGCTGCTTCACTAGCGAAGCGTTGGTGTTATCGCAACGTCGCTCTGATACCAATTGATACGATCTCTTGAGTATCATAAGATTTCTTTACTAAACGTAAGAAAACTCTTCTTTATTATTTCTCTTCATTATAAAACCCTAGCACAAGACGACTATTTACAGATAATAAAACCCTAGAATCCTAATCTCACTAGGAAAGATAATTATCTATACTAATAAATTACTAAATAATCCTCCTAATCCTCCTAACTCTAAACTAACACACGGCTATATTCAATATAAATATACTATACTAATTAATTAATAATGAAATACTAACTAACTAATATTTAAATAATATATTAAATAATAATTCGTATCACACTTAGAAATAAATACTTAATATCTTTTTTTTTTTTTTTGAAAAAATGACTATTATTAGGCATAGGAAGCCACTTCAAAAGGAAGAGTATCACCCTCAACATAGACCAAATCGGCCATTTGAGCAAGTGCATGGGCAAGACAATTGCCTTGTATTTTAATAAAACCAAAAGAACGTAACAGTAAGAAAAATACTTAAGTAAATTAGAGTAGTCTTCAATATAGGCGCCAAAGGAAGAATCAGATGTCTCCTGCCGACGTAAGGCTTCCATTATTTCTAACGAGTCGCCTTCAAGGAATAATGAGTGCCACCCTTTAATTTTTGCTTTGGTAAGTGCATAGAGAGCTGCGTGGGCTTCGCCTTCCACGACGGTAGGGCGGCCCGAGAATTTGCCAATACTCCACCAGATACACTTTCCGTTAGAATCTCTTGCCACCATAGCCGTTCTGTAGAAGTCCTTACCCGTTGGAAAAGCGACGTCGAAATTGACTTTCACGACACCTTGGTTCGGGGGAGTCCATGCCGTTTTGTGAGGTTGCTGTTTTAATGGGGTATGAATCAGCTGGGCTTGCTGATACGCCAAGATATATGCCGATGCCCATGATGGTAAATCAACATGTTGGATACCCCTCTCCCCGTGCTCTTCTTTGTTTCGGCTCTCCCACGCTTTCCAAATCACCACTGCCGCCAAGAGAAATAGGTCCTTAGTCAGTCTCTTATCCAAAAATTCCAACCAGTCCCACATGTTTGGAAATTCACCCAAGCTATCCAAGTTGAAGGGATGGCCTCTCCAAACACAAGAAATGCCGCTGCAGTTTTGGAAAATATGGACCGTCGTTTCGATTTAATCCCTACAAAAGTTATAGAAGGGAGAATAGATAATGTTGCGACGGAAAAGCTCAACGTTGTTCGGTAAAATGCATGTACAAGCTCTCCACAAGAAGATACGATTTTTGGCGGAATCTGAAGCTTCCATATAAACTTCCAGTTTCTAGCACAACCTCCATTTGATGAATCTTGTTGTTCATCCCTCATTAAAATGTTGTGATAGCAGGACTTAACAGAGAAGCATCCATCCTTCGTAAGACTCCAAATAAGTCTATCCTTAGCATGACTACAACCAATTGGAACAGACAAAATATGTTGAATATCAGTCGGCCAAAATGATTCTTTAATAAGTGACACATTCCAGGACCGAGTTGAAGGGATTATGAGATCGCACACTTTGTCGGGAAAGCTTGTGTGTACAGGTCTCTTCGTGATGATTCTACCTCCAGCCTCAGGCAACCACGGATCATACCGTATTGAGGTTGTACTTCCATCGCCAATTCTAACCTTAGCACCCATAGATAAAAATGAACGAGCCTTTAAAATACCCCGTCAGGTTGCAGAGGGTCGTGATCCTAAACTTGCACACCATATATCCCCATTCGAAAAGTATCGCGCTTTAAGGATTCGAGATAAAATGAGGTTGGGTTGAGTCCAAATCCGCCACGCCTGTTTCGCCAAAAGTGCCAAATTAAAAGTCCGCAGGTCTCTAAAGCCAAGACCTCCATATTCCTTTTCCATACACAATTTTCGCCAAGCCAACCATGCAAGGTATCTATTTTTTCCATTACCCCACCAGAATTTTCGAATAACTGATTCGAGCTCTGTAATAAGATTTTGGGGAAGCAGGAAACAACTCATTATATAAGCCGGTATCGCCTGGAGCACCGCCTTGATCATCACCTCTTTACCCGCCTTTGATAAATTTCTCTCGCTCCATCCTTTGATCTTGGCCCACATTCTCTCTCGTAGGTAGCTAAACATCTCTTTTTTCATCATTCCCAAAGAAACCGGCATACCAAGATACTTGTCGTGGCTATCTACCACTCGAAAACCGAGAATTTGGGAAATAGTATCCCGGGTTGTCGCGGGCGTAGATGGACTAAAAGTCATTGCGGACATATCGAGGTTTATCTCTTGCCCCGAGGCCACCGCGTATTTCTGTAAAATGTTCTTCAGAGTTAACGCATTGGTTTCATCTGCTTTGCAAAAGAATAAAGTATCATCTGCAAAACAAAGATTAGATATTGTAGGCGCAGATGGGGCCACCCGTACTCCATGCAGATTTTCGGCAGCTTCTTCTTTGCGAGACATAGCAATGAGGGCTTCTGTACAGCAGATAAACAAATATGGAGATATGGGGTCGCCTTGGCGGAGCCCTCTTGTGGGTTTGAGAAACCCGAACTGAGATCCATTAAACAAGAAGGAGTAAGAAACCGAAGTGACACATAACATGATCAGATCAATAAAAGAAGCAGGAAAACTCAAACGACATAAAATTTTCCTCAAAAAGAGCCATTCAACCCGATCGTATGCTTTACTGATATCCAATTTAATAGCCATAAAATTCGCCTTTTTATTAGGACTAGATTAAATGAAATGATTAACTTCGAAGGCTACTAAGATATTATCATTAATAAGACGTTTAGGGACAAAAGTTGATTGGGTTGGAGAAATAATGTCATTCAACACTAATTTAAGCCGATTAGTGATAACTTTGGACCCAAATTTATATATAACGTTACACAGACTAATGGGCCTATATCCACTGATACGTTCAGGGGTTTTCACTTTTGGAATGAGGACAAGGAAAGTGAAATTAAGAGAAAAGGGAAGGTTTTTATTGTTAAGAAAATATAGAACGCATTTTATGACATCTGAGCCCAGTATATTCCAATATTTTGTATAAAAAACAACAGGTAAACCATCCGGGCCAGGGAATTTAAGAGGTGCCATTTGAAAAATAGCATGGGTTACCTCGTCTGCCGTAAAGGGAAGGGAAAGAATTTGTTTTGCCCCTCCTGTAATCCTTGGCTCAATCGCCTCTAGCATCTCATTGATCGCAGCCTCTCTCGGATTGTTTGAACTAAATATGTTCTCAAAATAATTCGAGATAACATATTCGATATCCTCCCTACTTTCACACCAATGGCCGCTGTTGTCTCTCAGTTTATTAACCCAGTTCGTCTTCTTCCGAATTGTTGCCTTTGCGTGGAAAAATTTGGTATTACGATCTCCCTCTTGCATCCATTGAACTTTACTCCGTTGCCGCCAATATAAGTCCCATTCATCATACAATTGTTCCAATTCTGATTGGAGAGATGTTTTTTCAGCCTTACTCGCCTCGGTTTGCACACCTATCTGAAGAGCATGAAGTCGTTTGTGTATTCTTTCAATACGGGATTTAGGTTGCTTGACCACCGCTCTACTCCAATTTATCAACGCAACTGTGCAAACGTCCTTCTTTTGCATAATATCTGCCATAGGATCCCCATTTATACCCCCGATCCAACTTTGCTTAATAACTTCCTCACAGTCATCACGTTAAATCCACGTCGCTTCAAAACGAAATGGTCGTTTTCTCCTATACGAGGGTGCCGTGAAAACGGCTTTTAGGTACATAATAATAGGCTTGTGGTCAGATCCAGGATAGTCAAGGTGTTGCACCTGCGCTGAGGGGAACAAGTCAGACCATAATCTATTTGCACAAACACGGTCAAGGCGGCATCTCACTGTATTCGGATCTTTACGGTTATTCGACCAGGTGAACAGAAAACCCGAGAAACCAAGATCTGAGAGGTTGCAGTCTTCCAAGGCTTCACGAAAGTTTGAAATATGACTAGGCAATTTAGGATTTCCACCTTCTTTCTCGGAGTTGAAAAGAATCTCACTAAAGTCTCCACCTACAACTCAAGCCTTGTTATCCTGATGCTTCTGAGGATTTCCCACGATCGGTATCGATTTCCTTGGTCCGCGAAACCATATAACCCAGTGGCCCTCCAATTTTCCGATCCATTACCTCCCTGGACATCCACGTCAATGTGATTGCTTGACAAACTCCTCAAGTCGACCACCAACTCTCTCTGCCAGAGCATAGCAAGCCCACCCGACTTTCCAATTTTATCTACACTGACTCCATGCAAATTCCATCTTTGTTTCAATCTCTCAACTAGTTGTGATGTTGCCCGTGTTTCCGAGAGAAACACCAATGAGGGGTTATATTTTCGGAGCATGTCTCCGAGCACATGAATTGTCAAGGGAACCCCTAACCCTTGACAATTCCAGTATAAGCAACTCATTGAAGTCGGCGGGACTGCCCAGCAGTCTCCGCCATTGACATAAGATCCTCGTCCCTCAAACACAGTTGTTTTCGTTTCCCGTCTGGTGGAATAATATTGTATATCATTGCTTCGGCTTTCTTCTTCTTTCGGCTATTGCTTGTGATAGAAATTTTCTTTCGAGTTGCCGTGGTAAGAGCAGCGTTAGCATGCAACTGTATGACATTATCAATCAAGGTGATCTCCTCTTCTGATTCTCGAGTATCGTTCTCTTTATCCAGCTGAAAACCTTGTCCCCTATCTTGCCTCGTACGGGCAGATAAATCGAAGACCCGCCTTCCCCGCATGCTAGATTCAGGAGAAATAGAAGCACTCGGTGTGTTTCCTGGTGCAACAGCAATCAAGGGGGGTCTAGGCTTGTCAACATCTCTGTTATTCGAGACACGCATCCATGTTCCGTAAGGTAGGTCCTCCCCCGGATCCACAAAGTTATCCTCATAGCGCATAGAGCAACGTTGTTCCCCATGCCCGAGCCCGATAATCCCACATAGAAAAAAACGTTTGGTAGTCGTGTTGGGGATCGTGCATGTATACGCAGCGGAATTTAAAAATTTAAGATCGAACTAGTTTCGATTACATGCATAAACTAATCACATAGTCAACGTACCTTAATGCTTCGGCCATACACATGGTAATTATCAATTTAATTAAAAACATGTAAAACCAAAAAATATGAAACATGCTTGTTCATCATATTACAAAATCGAAACACGTAATCACATGTTACTCATGCTCGTAAATTAAAAAAACATACAAACATGTTCGAATCGAATTGCGAAAGTTCCGATTTAATTACCTCTTGTAGCGTGAGATTTCGACGAATCGAAATCCAAACTCAAACACGTACAAGCTGCAAATTATCACTCCTCGGGGCTGCAACTCACGGCTGGAGCAAACTGATCCAACAGGCGGCGGACGGCGGCGCGTGGCAAAGTTAGCGGCGGCGGCGCGTGGACGGTGCAGCGGCGGCGTGGCAATTCCGTCGAGGCAGCAGCTCCTCTCCAATTAGGTTTCACCTCGAATAAACCGATATCCCCCTACTGTAGTACTAGATACAAAGGGGTTAGATAACAAGGGAAATACGATAGAGAAAGGAGAGGAAAAATCGGCGTTTTCCGGCGGCGGACGGCGCCGGTGCGGCGGAGCAGCAGCGGCTGAGAGGCTGGACGGCTAGGGTTTTGGTGTGTAAAAATCTAATCTCAAACTCTTGTGAGGTATATTTATACTTAGGGTTCTCAACCCTTGTGGGCTTAAGTCATTGGGCTTGACCCACTGATGCATTAAGTCCATTCCCTCGTCGACCTCGTTTCTAACAAACGATCGTTAACAAAATTATAACGAAATTATATTTGTGACGAGCTTAAAGTCCTCGTCGATACGAGTGCCTCTTCGAAATTTCCAATTTCCAAAATTGGAAACTTCCACTTCAGTGGATCTGCTAAATCGGGAAACCTCCCAATTTAGAAAGTCCACTAAATTTCGCATGTCTCTCTTTCTCTACGTTCATTCCGACTCGTAATCCACAATCACGAATCTTGGACTCAATCATATTGACCTCCAACTTTGCAAAGATTAACATATTAACCTATGCACATTGTTATCAAGGATCCGTGTTACACGAGAAGTGTGACCCTCAATGGTTCAGGTGTATGCTAGCCGTGGGCTCACAACTCTTTGTGATTCGAACAACACATTGTTCTTATATGAACTCCTCCCAAGAGTCCTGATTAGAGTAAAACTCATTTTACTTAATCGCCGATCAAATCGGTGCCCAACGAATCAAGATTGGCGTCTAGCAACTACGCATCATGATTCCCTAGATACAAGTGAAGTGCCTGCAAGAACCTTATGATATAGTTAGCGTACAGTACGATCCATTCGCAGCATATGTCCCGATTGAACTAGAGGCATTGGTTCACCGAGACCTCTTATAAAGTTCAATAACCGTGCGAACGTTCTAGGTATTATAAATCCGTTCGTGTGCGACTTAGGGAAACACATTTCCCTAATCACCCCACTATCAACTCTGGCCAGAGATTCCTTGGATTATAAACTGTCAGAACACACAGGACATCCATGACTACTCAAGCGCTCGAATCCCCTACTACAATGCACAGACTTCACACTAGATTTCGGATTGCACGAACGTTGGCCCTTGGAGTGGTCCGTTGTGGGACTCAGGGACAGGTCACGATACAATCAGTCCTCTAGTGAAGTCACGGTGATGTCTGGGTCTTAAGGACTAATGGTGTACAACTATATCTTAGAAACCTATTACTCGATGAATGAGAACCACTTACAGATTTCTAGGGCGAGGGAGTTCAGTGAACTCATCTAGTATGAGCACCCACTCAAGTATGCCGATGTCACAACACCGAGGACTGATGAGACGCAGTACACATACACTAAGTGCTAGTCTCAAAAGGGAAAGGCCGGTATCCTCATTATTGGCGTAACCCATCGACTAGGAACAAGGTTTAACAGTTACATTACATTGCTGAGTTATCTCACGATTCTACTAGATCAACTCACAGTAATAGAGTAACTCGTTAGGACTATATCTATGCTACTTGCATGGGATAACAGATATAGAATGCCAAATGAAATGTTTTATCATTACGAACGAAAAACGATTGTTTTATTACAAGATAAAAGGAAAGACCACAGCCACAAGTTGGCTTGTTGGTCACCTACTCCAACAATCTCCCACTTGACCTAAAGCCAACTACTCATAAATCTAAGTCCCATCGACTCTCGATGTTTCTCGTGGACTGATCCTGACAATGGCTTGGTAAAGGGATCTGCAATATTGTCCTCCGAGGTGACTCTGTCTAGCTTGACTTCACCTCTCTCTATGATCTCTCGGATCACATGGTATTTTCTCAACACGTGCTTCGACTTCTGATGAGCTCTTGGTTCCTTAGCTAGCGCTACGGCTCCGTTGTTATCGCAGTACAGCCGTACTAGATCGTTAGCGTTTGGAAATACACCCAACTCTTGGATGAATTTCCTAATCCATGACCCTTCCTTTGAAGCATCTGATGCTGCAATATATTCAGCCTCGGTGGTGGAATCAGCCGTCGTGCCTTGTTTGGAACTCTTCCAACACACGGCACCCCCGTTGACTTTGAATATATACCCCGAGTTTGACTTCGAGTCATCCACGTCCGATTGAAAACTAGAATCCGTGAAGCCTTCTAATTTCAATTCGGTATCCCCATAGACCAAAAAAAAATCTTGAGTTCTTCGCAAGTACTTGAGAATGTCCTTCACAGCATTCTAATGGGCTGGGCCGAGGTCGGACTGATATCTGCTTGTGACGCTCACAGCATACGCAATATCAGGTCGTGTACATAGCATGCCATACATTATGCTTCCAATAGCGGATACATAAGGTGTCCTCTTCATCTCCTCGATTTCCTTTTGCGTTTGAGGACGCATGGATTTCGAGAGACGAACCCCATGGGACATTGGCAAGAATCCCTTCTTGGATTCTTCCATGCTAAACCGTTTAAGAACGGTGTCTATGTACATGGATTGGGACGAGCCAAGTAATCTCCTCGATCTATCTCTATAGATCCGTATTCCCAATACGTAGGATGATTCTCCCAAATCCTTCATCGAGAAACGTTTGGATAACCATACTCTAATTGACTGCAACATCCCTACATCATTCCCAATGAGTAGTATGTCATCAACATAAAGTACAAGGAAAGTCACTGCACTCCCACTAACCTTCTTGTAGACACAAGGTTCCTCCGGTTTTTTCACAAATTCAAACTCTTTGATAGTTGTGTCGAACCTTTTGTTACAACTACGGGATGCTTGTTTCAATCCATAAATGGATCGCTGGAGTTTGCAAACCTTTTGCTCATCTCCAGAAGATATGAAGCCTTCCGGCTGCGCCATGTAAATTTCTTCCTCAATGTCCCCATTAAGGAAAGCGGTCTTCACATCCATTTGCCATATCTCGTAGTCATACCACGCAGAGATGGCCAGCAAAATCCTAATGGACTTAAGCATAGCAACTGGAGAGAAGGTTTCCTCATAGTCAACTCCTTGCTTTTGAGTATAACCCTTCGCTACCAATCTAGCCTTGTAAGTTGATACCTTTCCATATACTCCAATTTTCTTCTTATAGATCCACTTGCAGCCTATGGGAACAATTCCCTCGGGTGGATCTACCAAGGTCCATACCTTGTTGGAGTACATAGAGTCCATTTCGGATTTCATGGCATTAATCCAATGTCCCTTGTCTGTATCTGATACAGCTTCGTTGAAAGTTCTAGGATCACATCCTTGGTCAACTTCATCAACGAGGAATAACCTATCGGGCGCTCTCCGAACTCTTTCGGATCTACGCAGCGACGGTTCAGGAGGTATATTAGTGGTTTGTTGAATTGGTTCATTATCTGATTGCTGTGCTTGAACTTCAGATTGTGGTTCTCGAACTTCTTCGAGATCAACTACACTGCCCTTTCTATCCGATAGAAATTCCTTCTCAAGGAACACGGCATTTCTCGAGACGAACACCTTTGCCTCGGAAACATAGTAGAATTCGTATCCCATGGAATTCTCGGGATACCCCACAAAATAGCATAAGTCGAATTTTCTATCCAACTTATCTCCCACTAGCCGCTTCACGTAAGCGGGACAACCCCATATCCTAATATGTTTAAACGTGGGTTTCTTGGAGTGCCAAAGTTCATAAGGTGTGGAGTTAACTGCTTTGGTATTAACCCTATTCAGCAAATACACGGCAGTTAGGAGTGCATGACCCCACAGGTATGCCGGTAGCTCGGTGAACCCCATCATAGATCAAACCATGTCTAACAGTGTTCGATTCCGACATTCGGAAACTCCATTAAGTTGAGGAGTTCCAGGAGGAGTCCATTGAGACAGAATCCCATTCTCTTTAAGATAGTCTATAAACTCTGTACTTAAGTATTCGCCACCACGATCGGATCGTAGTTTCTTAATACGTCTACCGAGTTGGTTTTCTACTTGGTGTCTAAAATCTTTGAACCTTTCAAAAGTTTCAGACTTATACTTCATTAAGTATACGAAACCATACCTAGAATAATCGTCGGTAAAGGTAACGAAGTAGTTAAAACCACCCCTAGCACTAACGCTTAGTGGACCATACACGTCTGAATGGATCAAATCCAAAAGACCCTCGGCTCGTTCCATCTTCCCTTTGAAGGGAGTCTTGGTCATTTTTCCTTTAAGGCAGGATACACAAGTTTGAAGTGATTTCACATCCTCCAAGGAGAACAATCCTTCACTTACAAATTTTTTCATCCTTCTCAAGGAAATATGACCCAGTCGAGCGTGCCAAAGTTGTGCGGGGTTAAGACTTATATCTTTTCGTTTTGCTGATATAACGTTAATT